CGAACGCTGCAGTGGACAGAATAGTCTCAGTCCTTAATGACCCTGTCATCCACAGGAGCAGGGTGTCGCTGCCTCAGACCCACGGGGGAGCCTTGAGCACCTATGGTAAGGGAAAAGCAGCAGGCACGAAGGGATGGCTATCCCAAGATTCCACTTACACGGGGCCCTACAAGAGCTGAATGCACAGAACGTGGTGGCTACGGAGGTGGGGGCGGGGGAGACACCAGTTAAGGCGACCAAGTGTTGGAAACGGAGCCTAGTGCTGACTGCACACAGCACGGATGTCATTAACGCAGTGACATTAACGGTCCTTAAACGCTAAGCTGCAGCTCATGTCCATTTTACCGTAATAACAATAACCAATTCGGGACACTCAGAGGTTGGGAGGAGACAGTCAGACTCCCAGCCAACGCTGGGCTGAGCCATCTCTCCAGGCTTCTGGGGCCCTTCCTTGCTTGGGTCATGGTTGCCATGGTAACAGACCCCTAGAACCATGTGTGGGGGAAACAGGTGAGCAAGGCCACAGGCTCTGCGCAAAACTACCTGATCTCAATGGCAGCTCTGCCAGCCGAGGGGCACACAGCCATCCTGGGCCAAAGGGCCCAAAAGTCCATGGCTGCTGCTCTGAGAGTGGAAGGCCTGAGCGACAAAGCACCCGGGACATACGTGACCGAGTGACATCACAGGCATGGGTGAGCAGCCAATATCGTTGGCTTACATCCACACATACCTGCTACTTCATCCCTGGCTGCTGGATCTGGGAGCCAAGTTCAATGGTATCAACCGAGAAATCCCCAGTACACTCTAAGTTCATCAATAACTCCAAACACACGTGCGGGGCAAGCAGAACATCTATATCAAAATGTCTTTGGAACACCTAGCGGTTCTCCTGGCCATGTCAAGGATGATGAGCTCTGTCTGATTTTGTATGGGTTCCTCTCTGGGCCTTCTCCCTCACCTGGCCACAACCACCATTTCAAAGCAACTGTCACAGGATGGATGAGGGCCAGGGTGCCTGCCCATCAGCAGGTGGAAAAGCCAGCAGGGCAGCAGGCAGGGCCAGCACACACGCCCAGACACACAGAGGGAGAAATGTGGCAGAAATAACAAACATTTGTTGGCGGAGTCTTTCCGACCTCTGCTTTCTGGAAAAAAATACATCTTAGAAATGTTGACACTTTGCTGCTTCACTGAACAAGTGTCTGGGGGCAGGAATGGGGTTCCTGCGATGTTGGGCTCCCCATGTGACAGTCAAAACCTCTGTCTCATTGTGCAGAAGTGCCAAGGAATGCAATCTACAGACTGTACAAGTGTTCGTAGAAATGTTCATGGAAAGTGAACATTCCAAAAAACCTAGGCATGGATCTCACAGCCTTTTCCGCCCAAATTATTTTTTTTTTTAAGATTTATTTATTTCTATTGGAAACTCAGATAAACAGAAAGAAGGAGAGACAGAGGGGAAGATCTTCTGTATGTTGACTCACTCCCCAAGTGGCTGCAAGGGTTGGAGCTATGCCAATCCAAAGCCAGGAGCCTCGAGCCTCTTTTGGGTCTCCCAGGACCTAGAGCTGGTGGGATTTCCAAGTTCCCATCATTCCCTAAAAGGGACACTGCAAGAATCCCCTCCTTGACCCCTGCACTGGACGGCTGGCCTCTTGCAGCCACAGCCTCCACCAGATAGTCCAGAAGGACAGGAAGCAGGAGCGGCCACTCGCCAACCAGGACCTCGCACTGCAAAGATACACTATGCTTCCTTTTGTTACATTTGGGGGGGGGGGGGTCCACACACTCAAATTCCACTTCTTTTTCCATCCAGGAGCAAATCAAACATAACCCCCTGCCTGAACACCGCTCCAGCCATCCACAATGCCCAGTGGCAAGCTAAAGCATTTGGCCAAGAGGTCCCCTTCTGCCCGCAGAACACAGAAGCTCCCCAACTTGGTGGAATGTTGTCATGCCTCATTAGAACTGAGCTGCACCTGTTAAAAATCAAGCAGCGTCTCCTCATTAGGCACCCTCAGACTCCCAGCATATTCATAATCACAGAATCAAATGTGCAAAAAGCTCCGTGCCCATAATGATGATGCCGATCTGATGCTGGTCGCATTTATTTTGAGACCAGGAGTCCCTGGAGGCCTGTCAGTTCTCTTTGTACTTCTTTTCAAGGCTGCCTTCATCAACGAAATTAGTTGATCACCAGGATTTTGACCACCATGCTTACGCTCAACTTATATTTAAACAAACCACTGGAACAACATCAATTACATGAGTTTCCAGAGAACATTTGCTGGAGAAAATATCACTAAGGGCCAATTTCATTGGTTAACTCTTTCTCAGCAGCACCACCTGCACAAATCCTCAACTATTCGTTATTTCTTAATAGGTGTCTATTTATCTTTATTTCTTGGAGACAGAGTCAGCCCTTACACTACCTTCCACCTGCCAGTTCACTCCACACACACCACAACAGCCAGGACTGGTCCAGGCCGGCTGAGGAGCCTGGGACTCCATCTGGGTTTGCCACCCTCCTATGCGGTAAGATTCCACCACTTAAACCATCACCTGTTGTTTCCCAGGGAATGTATTAGAAAAAGAACTGCACGAGAAGGAGAGGCAGGACTCAGCCAATGCACTCCAAAATGGAACGCAGGAATCTCCAGGGACACTTTAACCCACTGTACCACACAACGCCCACCCCTCTTCTGTCCATGGGGCAACTCTCCAACCTCACTGCATCTGGCAGAGGAGCTGACCAAGGAGCAAAGGACAAGTCACGCCTGCCTCTGGCTTCCCCGGCGAGCAGGCTCCTGGAGGCATCTGCCGTGTAGTTCCACCAAGCAGATGTGGCTTAGATCCTGGGCCACACTAACCTGCGCTCCACACACTCCCAGGCAGTTTCCATTCTTCCCTCAATCTGGGCCTCCAGATTCATTTTCATTTTGAAATGGTAATAATAATAATAATAATAATAATAATAATAATAATAATAAAGGCAAAAGCTTTTGCAGAAGCAAATAATCGCCTGCAGATCAATAGCTGTGTGTGGAAGGCCAACAAAGAGTTCCAGGCCGGAGGTGGCACCCAGCGGCAGAGGTGGGGTGACACTAGTGTCTCACGGAGCAGGGGGAGCACTCCCAGACCTCCCCCTGCTGCCAAGAACTGACCTGGTCCTGACTGCTCCTGACTCCAAAGCAGCTACTGTCTGAGCGGAAGCATCCTCTTTGACCCTCAGTGTGGGTTTCTCACATGGTCCTAGCAAGTTCTTCACCTCCTGGCAGTCCTCGGGGCGTCACCTCCTTCCTAGTAGCTTGCTGACTAGCAGGGACATCACTCCCAGGACGAGCTAGGAGAAACTGCCCTGTGTTCCTCCTCTCTCTCGGGCTCCCTGCTCACTCCCCTAACAGAGGCAGCTACCAGGCTGCCAAGCGCACATGGAAGGAAGCGCGGGTGCTTCCAGCACGGAAGGAGCGAGGCACGTCCTCAGCCCACCCACCTGCCAAGAGGTGAACCCCGACAGCAGCCCCAAGACCAATGCCTTCCCCAGTAGCCCCCTGATGAGAGCCTGGGCCTCGGGGCTCGCCAGGTTACAGTCCTGGGAGAGGACCAGCCAAACTAAGCCAAGCCTGCAGCCCTGACTCACACAAACTGTGAGATAACAAATGTAGCTGTATAGTCTTTGTATCTTGGGGCAATACATTCCATAGCAATAGGTATAAATATTCCAGATGCACCCAGAGCTCCGTAATAAGCCTGTTCTAAGTCCCCTTCATATGCCGAATTCTTGATGCTTTCCCTTCCACGCTGAATAATCCGGATGTCCCACCTCGCACCTGAAACCTCCTCCCTCCCAGTCCCACCCACCACCTCCCGACCACCCTCATCTTTCTCCTCCAAGCACCACCTCTCCTTGTGGACAGCAGCATGCTGTCGGGTCTCCCTTTGCTCCAGACAAGAGCCCCTCCAAGCTGGGTCCATGCCCTGCTCTCCTTGGCTTGCTCAGAGCCCAGGACAGTGCTTGGCACAGAAGAAAGAGGATTGGGAATGGCGGCAGGGCACCCACCGGGGAGTTAACATGCTGGGAACTTGCTCTTCAACATAGTGATGCTAGAATGAAGAGGTGGGGCAGACACTTCCGGGGAACTCTCAGTGCCACCTCTCAGGAGGGGCTAAGGTTAGCCCTGGGGCCGGAGTTAACTCCCAAGAGGGATAGCTGTTGTAAGCGAATCCCACTGCGGGGTCAATCTCTGCCTGCAGCCTCTCTCTCTCTCTCTCTCTCTCTCTCTCTCTCTCTCTCTCTCTCTCTCTCATACACACACACACCACCACCACCACACCCTTGCCTCCTTCCTCACCAGAGGTGCAACCAACCAGACAGCTCATTTCAAAACTTGTAACCAAAATTAACTATGTTTCCATATACAGTTAGCCTGCCCTGGGTACTTAATTACAATCATGGAAAACCACACTACCAGCACAGAAATGTGCACCCGTGTTTGCTGAGGGGCTGAACCCAGGGCTTTGGGAGCCTGTGCAGGTGCGTCTAGGGAACCAGCTGGCCCATTCCACATTCCCTAGACGGACGAGTCTCGGCTTCATGGTCCTCGGTGATACAGCCTGCAGAATCCGCGGAGACAGAAGGACGCAGGGCCCTTGCACACTCTCGGCTAACAAGTAATAAATATCTCACACTCCAGGCTCCGGTCCAGTCTTGTTCCCACAGGCAACCGCACTGATGACTCAAACGCTGCACCAGTTTTAAGTTTTACAGACCGTAAAGCATATAGAAAACAGACGCTCAACTTTCGACCCTTTCTGCAACTGAACCCTCCTCGTGTAACGAACAGCACAAATGGAGCCTGAACTTGAAAATGACGTCCAAGTCCAGGGCTGTTGTTGGAAAACAGCAGGCAAGGACGCGGCTGGTGGCTAGCTCCCAGTAACTTTCAAGAACTGTAAATATGCCCAAGTTTAACAGCCCCTTTCTGGATGCTTCACCCTACCTTATAGCCTCCGATGCGATGTTCCTGCTTGAATTCCTTCCCGTTCTTCAGCCATCGCATGGTCGGGGTCGGGCTCCCCCCTGCCGGGCAGCGGAACTTGACCGTGTTGGCGGCGGGGACGGCGTGCAGCCGCTTCTCCATCTTCTCCGTGTTGGTCCAGTAGGGCGCTCCTGTTTTGGGAAATTAACATTAAAGCACGTGTTGCAGACTGCCTCCCCTCCGCCAGTAGGCTCCACGCAGGTAGGATCACTATTTTATAGGAAAAAAGACTCGATGTGTTTCAAATCCCTGGAAAATATTTACATTAGGAAAATGTTTTCAGAAGTCTTATCCAGCTGGCCTAACAGAAGGTCCCTGGGGAAGAGCTGCTCATTGGTTTATGCCTATGAACAGGAAAAAAAAGGTATTTAAAACACCTTCTCTCTCTTGTTCTTGGTGCCAAGGAATCATTTCATGTCAAAGCATGTTTTTAAAACACTACTTGAAGCTCTCAGTGACACATGGCAAGGACGGCTAAGTTTTCCAAAATCTTAATCTTTCCGATCACCATGCCCATGAAGCAACGGCACGGAGGCACACCAGCAAAAACAAGCTGGCCCCCGAAGCCACAGCAAGGAAACCATCACAGCTTTCTTTTAAAGGGCGATGAGCCATATAAATGACCATCCTCATATGAGAAAAACAGTCTAGGGAGGTATCATCTCCCTGTACTTCGTGAGACAGGTGAAAAACTCTGTAAACAGATCTTAATTTTTAAAATAAAATATTGTTCTCTCCAATGGTGATTGGAAACGCCATAATCTTGCCAGCACGTGTGAGCTGACAGCAAGAGCCAACCAGTGGAACAGTATGATCCTCAAAGTCATAAACACAAGAGATTGTTTCTAAGCTGCAGGCAGGGAGCTTTTTAACTCGCCAAGTCAGGTGCATTTTATCTGCAGGAGCGCCCAGGCCTCCATCCCAACACTGCTGTGAATCCTTCACCTCTGCACATAATGGCTAATGACCGCTGTTGACGGAGCAAGCTGTGTTTGCCAAGCACCGTGCTAAGAGCTTTTACATGCCCAACACATTAATCCTCACGACAATGTCCTGAGAAAGGCACTATTATAATCCCTATTTACAGGTAGGGAGGCTGGGCCGCAGAGAAACCGAGAAGTCTGCCAAAAGCCACGACGCTGGAAAGGGGTGCAGCCAGAGTGGGGCCAAGCCGGGTCTGGCGCCAGAGCACACTGCTGTCCCCACGCCTCCTGTGCACTGCTGGAAGGAAGCAGCTTCCCCAGGGGGGTGGATCCCATACCTTAACCAGCCTGATTGTGCAAAACTAGAGGCCAGGCCAGCCTGGGCCAAAGGCGCGCGCGCGCACACACACACACACACACACACACACACACACACACACAGCAATTAAACTGAACACAGGAATGCTTGCATCATAGCCAACTGGTCACCAAAAGCTGTGCTCCCTGTATAGTATTCACCAGCAGGGCTCTGAACATTCTAGAAGGACAAGTCGTAACTGGACTGCTTTCTGATGAGGGTAAGACATGAGAGATGGTGCTCGCTTGCACACACACACATACCCCGCAGCCCGCAGCCCACAAGGCTTCCAGAGGGGCTGCATCCCCAATGCATATTTCAACAGCATCCCTACTGTGGGGTGCTGAGAAGGGGTGTGAACCAAGCTTCTGGGGGCAGCAGCCCCTCCATTGAACACTGGAACTCTCTTAGTACAATCAGGAAGGAGAGTAATTGCATCCAAAACACACACACACACACACACACACACACACACCCCTTGGCCTCGTGCTTGTTCTTGGAACTGTGATGAAGAGTGGAGCTGAGCTTTCTTCATAAGGGCGCTCTTATCGTCTTTATCCTTGAGCAGCTAAATGTCAAGGCAGTGCACAGACAAGACAGTGCAGAGAGGAGCAAAAACTCCAGCTGGGCATGGTCTAGGGCAGCAGGAAAGACGGCAGGGAGGGGGGCCAAGCCAACGGCACGGGGGGCCTTCTCTCCTCACCGGTGTCTTAGTGGCAGGCAGGCAAACCAGCGAGCCATTTGACTTTGGGTGTCAAATGCCCATAAACAACTCTTCTTTTCAAGATTCAGGAGGGAGAACTTGATTCCTATTTACCACGCTGCTCCCAGGGCCTGGCATATACTGAAACGGCTTCAATCATCTTTCATTTTAAAAGCTCCTACTTAGAAAAATCCATCCACATCCCCGGTCACTAAAAAGAGGCCATTGAGAGCACAACATAAATAATGAGCTTTGTCGCTACACAAAGACTTTCACAAATCTGACCTAAATGAAAAGCATACCTCATGCTGTCAGGTGTCTGGGCTCATGTCATTTGTTTAAGTAAACACAATAGCCTATTCATTGGCATTAGCTAAATATTAATGTAGTAACTCTTTCAGATAGCATCAATTACCACTGAGCTGGTCCCCTGGAATGCCCTTACTTTTTTACAGAAAAGAAAACAACAGGTATGTGAGTTATGTACCATTAGGCATGATTTGTATGTTCCCTAAAGCGTCAGAAGCGGAGTTCAGCTTAGGGAACAGGAATGCTGTTCTTTCCCTAGCTCTCTGTGCTAAGCCAGTGGTGGCCTGCCACCAGCAACGGAACGGCCCCGCTCACGTGCACCTGTGCAGCCCTGGTCTGCGCAGACACACACTGGCAACCAGAACCTTGTCAAAGGTGGAAGAATTTTGCTGGAATGTCTGACAGACAGCCACTTCTCAAGGGGACAAAGTTTCAGGCTACAAAACTACATCTGTAAAATCTGCGGGTGTGCAACCGTTGGCACGTGGCAAGGCGTGGGCACACCTCACTGACATCTCAGAGAGCCACAGTGGGTAGTGGGGACCCTACACAGCCGATCAGCAAAGCAGGACCAGGTCACCCGCACAGCCAATCAGCAAAGCAGGACCAGGTCACCCACACAGCCAGGCCTGGAATCCTGGATTTCACGTTCCCTGGAGACAGGCTGCTCGGGGCTCCCCATGTCGTCCTGAATGGCCACTCTCAACTCTGTCCAAACCCTGTGCTGATTTGCTCCTATCACACCAGATGTCCGTTGGTGCCAGCTTTTACAATGCGGGCAAAGTCAGAGGTGAGAAACTATTACTTGACATTGGTTTTTCTTGAAAGAAGCCAGCTCTATCCAACACTGCAATATCTAAAAGATGATACTGCCCAGAGCAGCCCAGCTTCATGAGCTTCAGCAGGGCCTTCTTGCCCACCTCACACCCTTCCTCTCCTCCACGTCTCCCACCAAAGACATGGAATCCACAACACAGCCAGAGAGCATCATGGGCCACACACCTTCGCCAACCTCCCCTGCCACTAAGGAGGCCTCCTTTCCTACGAGAGAGTGAACACCTTGAACAGCTCCCATTTGGAGAAGGAATTGGTTTCAAATCTTTAAATCACTACACATGCAGAGATGACCTCTGTACACAGCAGGTGTTCAATATGAATACTCTTCAACAGCCTTGTTCAAGATACAAACCAAGTTCACATCAGGTTGTTTGAACTCAAGGGTTTGAGCATCCATGTAATGCCTCTTTGCTGGAACAGACATGGAGGTGGTGGAGGAGCAGAAATGTGACAGAGGTCTCCAATGGCATCGTATTCAAGCTGATCCCAGTGACAGGCCGGGTCCCTTCAACCCTGACATGAGTGGGCCTTCAGATGGAGCCTGTAGCAACAGGGCAATCTTTTCCTAATCTCTAACTATTAATGATGGGCAGAAGAGTGAGTATCAGAACCTGGCCACAATCAGTACATCAACTGACAAATGAAATTCCAGCACTGATTTCCTATACTGGAACAGTTGCTGCACATCAGTGACAATACTAAGTAAGCAAGAACGTTACTTTAACACAACAGAAGTCTCTTTAGATGTGGCTGGTTAAAGAAAGATTTATAACCCTTCAAAATCCCCCAAAGTCCTCCAACGCAGACTTTCCTTGCCATCCTGAGCCCTTGGTGAAGTTCCCTCATTCTTCCTCTGGGCCACTTACACTGGCGTGTACTTCTAGCACGTGCACTGCAAAATAGCCCCTTCGATGTCTGCCTAGGGTGCTGGCCCAAGGACGCAGCTGGAGCTGACCAGCTAGAGCAGGCACTCCAACGCTGCCTGGATGGATCAACACAGATGGAGGGACGGATGGGCAGACAGACTGACAACTGCCGAAAGCTTCAGCTTATGAAATAAGGGACTGCCCTAATAAGGTCCCTCCTAGTCCATTGAGTCCAGGTATCCATGAGCTGGCAGCTATTGATTACATCAACAAATGGTAGAATTATAGGGCTTCTTTGACCTCATCCATTTAAACTTAAGAGAAAACATAGGCTGCTAAGTCTGTCCCCATGGCAACGCTTACATATCCCAACACTGGCATCTAAGGTTTATGGTCCTTCTCTCTCTCTCTCTCTCTCTCTCTCTCTCTCTCTCTCTCTCTCTCTTTAGATCCAACACAGAGAACACGGCCCAGTGGTTTAAAGGAAAAACACGGGATCCAATTACAGTGCTGCACCAGAGGAGACCTTGGTGACCATCTGGCCCAACGGCTGATGTGATCAACGTCACCCAGAAAGGTTAAGTGATCTGATCAAGGTCACGCAGCCAGAGGCCAGGCTCAGGCCAACCCCATGTCTCCAGCCCCCTGAGCAGTACTCTTTCAACCACTCCAAACTGCCCTTTGAACTCTCCCATGGTAATTAAGTCAAAAGTTCAAGATTTATGTGCGTGGTGGATGCTGATGACTGCCAACTGTATTTTTATTGATGCAAAAATAAAAACACACAGACACACATGCACACAGCCTATTTCAGCTTCTAGATTAAGTCTCCCAAACTCCCTAAAGCCCCACTAAGGCCTGCCTTAAGTCTATAATTAGGGCTTTTAAAAATATCACTAATCAGAACATTTGAATGTTCTGACCCCTGATGGGAGGAGTGGCGTCTCTGCGAGCTGCCCACAATCCTTGCAGTAGGCTGCGGTTCGTCTGTCTCCGGCATCACGCAAGAGAAAACAAACCCACCAAAATACGGAGATGCAAGGAAGGGTGAACTGAGGCAGGGGCGTGGGAAATCTCATAAAAACCACAACTCACTTGTCCAGTGAGATGTTTGATCCAAAATACAGCTTTAGGA